TCATGCTGAAGATGCAAGGCTTTCCCACGCCAACCAGCACTACAGTCCGCATCTTTTTCCTTCTAGCATGACAAAGCTGATTTGTGACCACAAATCTGCATCACAAATTTCTTGTTTGAGTATGGGCAGGGGGCATATTTCATTGTAATACATCTGGTTCGCGGATTTCAAATCCGCCACCGGGAAAATATCCAGTGCAAATATGTCTAGGTCTGGAAACTTGTGATGCTGGTTGAGAAAGACGAGGACGCCTCAATTGTCTGGCAAGCATGACAAGTTTTGGAGGTGCTACAGTATTGGCTTTTCTGCATGACAAAGTGAGCTTCCGCATGACAGAAAAATCAGGCTTTTCGGTTATGTGCATGACAGACTTGAGAGTCATGTCACACAAGCATGACAAACCTTGCATCTTTCCAGACCCAGACATATTTGCAGTGCATAGAAAATCTCCTTGTACAATTCCTTCGCGGCTAATAGCCCCACGAACCTCCGCTCTTCTGCCTTCGTGCTGGAAGTTGAGAAGGAAATTCTTGGGTATAAAAATCCAAATTCCTCGATTGTAGCAGCGGCTTTCACCGCGGTGGAAAACGCAGCGGCGTTGATTTTCGAGATTTCCGGGTAGGTGACGAAGTAGTTCAAAATCAACGTTTCGATCACTTTCGTTTTCAAAAACGAATCCGCTTGTAACGCAGCTTTCATGACGGAATTCACAATTGGCACCGCAATCGTGATCCCGTCGGCGGTTAGACGGAACCCGACTTGGGAAATAGTCAAAAACTGCTTATCGGTTGTGGTTGGATTCATTCCAGTTTGCGTTGCCAGTTCTTCATTTAACGCCGCAACAACCCCCTTCTTGAAGCCAGCATTCACCGCAACGGAATTGTCCAGCAAGTGCAGCGGGTTCTTGCTTGTCGTGAACTGTTATCAAATGCAAAAATGTCAGGGTCTGGATGATTTCGGGGTTTGTCATGCTTGTCTGGCATGACCAAAAAGTTTGTGATGCGTGGCCAAGAAGAGATCCTTTTGCCTGTCATGCAAAAACGCAGTTTGTCATGCGAAAAACGCAACACAGAAAAGCGCAGATATTTCTCATGCTTGGCTGTGCATTACAGAGCATTCACTACTTCCAACGCAGCATTACAAGTTTCCAGACCCAGACATATTTGCATTTCATAACTGTTCCGGCCGAATCGGAATCCGGAGGGATAAGTAAGGCACCCTCCTCCCGCACGTCAACAAAATCTTCCCGTCATCCGAAGAGAGATCACTAGAGCCCCTCTTTACCGGGTGCGCGGAGAAGATTTTATTCACGTTCGTCGCGTCGGACGAGGCACTCGCACCAGACACCAGTTGGATCGCTTTTGCGTACTCCAAATTGAGGTTTGTGGTCAACTCAGAGAGGATTTTGTCGAAGAAGTTCTGCGCTTGGGCGCTGTAGGGCGTTTCCAAAAGATTCGGGTCGGTGTGGTTCTTCGCGGTGGCGGTTGTACTGGAAGAGTACTCGAAGTCCTCGAAGCAAGTCTTCTGTTTCAAGGCGTTCAACCTGGTCAAAGAAAACCCGCTCTTATCCACGGTAAATTTCCCGTCCACGTACAGATGCGGTCTCTGCATGACAAAACTTGGCTTCAATCCTAGTTTAGCATGACAAGTTTTACGCTCCAAATTGGTGAAATTTGTGATGCGTGTTGTACATGTACGGGAAATTTGTATTGCATAGCTCTCCTCGGTTTGCACCAACACCTTCACCTCCCGCTGCGACCCTTTTCCCGCGCCCAGTTGGGAAGAGGAGAAAACTTGGACGTGGATTTGCGATTCAGCAAATTCGTTGTTGAACCCACTGGCCAACACCTTCTTCAACTCTTTCTCTAAGTTGACTCGATCCACGGGCAGCCCCGCCGTGTCTTCGTAAAGGGTTCTACTCCCGCTGTCAAACAGCGCGGCGGCGTGTTGTGACACACCGGAATCGAGATTCGCGTAGTTGCTGCGGAGCATGAAGGAGAATTCGAAGAAAGCGAAGCTCGCGTGGGAAGTCCCCGTATTTGGGTACAGGTTGAGGCTCATACTTTGTGATGGGGAATACCAGGAGGTAGTAGCGTCGAAGACAGTTTCCGTGTTCGACTGGAGGGGTTATCAACTGTAAAAATGTCTGGGTCTGGAAGAATGCAACTTGTGATGCTAAATCTGAAGCATACAAAAATCTGTGTTGCATGATTACCAAAAGTCGTCCAGTTTTGGCCAAGTCGGGAGGGAGTTTCTCATGCAGGATAGGCATGAGAGAGAGTGCACAGAATCTGTCATGTTAGGTCCTGCATTACAGACCTCAAGGGTCATGAAAAAGCTGCATGACAAATCGCGCATTCTTCCAGACCCAGACATTTTTACATTTGATAGGGGAAACGCCGGCACGACGTAGCTAGCTGTGGTGAAATCGGATTTGGACGCATCCTGTGCAAAAGTATCGCACTCGTAGTAATCGATGCATTACAAATTTCTTTCTCAAGCGAAATCCGCATGACAAATTTTATGTCTCATGCTGAAGAAATTTGTCATGCGATTTATACTAGTACGATGCTTTTGCATTTCATATGACACGATGGATCCCAATTTTGCTTCGGCGTCGTAGTCGACTGAGGAAATAGATGACCCACTTGCACTGTCTCCGTACCTTCCCTCCACCAGTGTGAGCCTCTTGGAGAGCTTCATGCCAGAGATACCGAGCGCCGTAAACGACGCTGTATATTGGTATCCCATCACCTTCCTCCAGCACTCTCCAGTTGTGTACCCGGTGTGCACCGTGCCGAGCTCCCAAGTGTCCGTGCTGTCCTGTGGGTAGCCGCTCCAGTTCATGTAAAACTGGGAAGGCAACACGCTGATATCCAACCCGACGAAACTGCCAAGGTCCAGCTCGCAAAACGTGCGATCATTGTTATCCTTCCCATCGGGATTTTGGTTGAAGATGTACGACCCGGTTCCGACGCACTGCGGTATCTTGTTGCACAACGCCTGGCACGTGTCGCGCGCGTGGGGGGACGGGTCGTTGTCGATCCAGCCCCGCACGTCCGGAAGGTGGGTCGGATTCCCGTTCGTTATTGTGCTCTGGGCGCACAACCC